AGAAAGATAGATAGATAGAAAGAGAGAGAGAGAGAGAGAGAGAGAGAGAGAGAGAGAGAGAGAGAGAGAGAGAGAAAATGGCGATAGGGAGAGAGAATGAGAGAGAAAGATAGATAGATAGAAAGAGAGAGAGAGAAAGAGAAAGGAAGAGAGAGAGATAGAGAGAGAGAGAGAGAGAAGGGCGATAGGGAGAGAGAATGAGAGAGAAAGAGAGCGAGAGAAAGAAAGAGCAAGAGAGAAAGAGAGCGAGAGAAAGAACGAAAGAGAATAACAGAGAGAAAAATAAAGGGAGAGAGATGGGGAGAGAAAGAGAGAAGAGACGAGAGTGAGGGGAAGAACTCGCATTATAGTTATAGTTGGTTGCGGGAGCGGGTAGCGGTAAAAACAGCGACAACCAACATGGCAGCATAAAAGTCATAAACGTTTATGAACTCAATCCAAACCGACTAGTTTACGTTGTCTGTACATTGGCCTAAATCTGCACCATTATAGTAGCGCGTATCCTGAATAAAAGAAATAAAAGAACAATCTGTAGCAATCTGTAAAAGAACAATCGGTGGCAATAAAAGAACATTAAACATTTGTCATACAGCTATGCCTATTCTAATACCTATACGTATGCTATAGGTATTACTAAACATATTTGCAAGAGCACGTAAACCCCCAGGGTCGCAACACCAACACCACCACCAACAACAACAACAACAACAACAACAACAACAACAACAACAACAACAACGTACAACACCACCGCAGCAGCAGCCGCCGCCGCCACCAACACCAACAACAATAAAAACCGCAACCGCAACAACAAACACAAAAACAACGAACAATCACAAGAATGACGACGACGACGACGGGCAGCAACAGCAGCAACAACAACAACAACAACAACAACAACAACAACAACAACAACAACAACAACAACAACAACAACAACAACGTCAAAATCCCAGCCGGGGTCAGTTCTCTCCCCTCCTCGCTCTTGTTCACCCACCACTATACATACGCCGTGACAGCAAATAACGCATCGTGAATATTTCATCACCTGGTCGCACGCACGCGGCAGGTATATAGAAGTCGATCGGCCGCTAACGTGCGCATAAACCACACAAGACTGATGCACACACTACTACGCGGCTAGATAACGACAAGTCGTAAACACAGCCGCTGTCCCATGCCGTCCCCGCCATGCTAGCATAGATTATTCCTCGCGGAATCGCTCGCCGCGTCTGTAAGTGCCCGTAATTTCTCGTTCGGCTGCCTCATAACGAAGAAGGGCTCAGCGGTAGGTGGCTAGTTATGGAGAAGGAAGGGGAAGGGAGGGGAGCGGTGTTCAGCTACCGCTAAGTCACGAGCGTGGATCGACGGGAAAACTGTAGCGCGAAGCTGCTCATTGGAACCAGCCCTTGGCCGCCCCGGGGCCCCCCCCCAAAAAGACGCGGCGTCTGTCGCACTCCATCGTCTGCATGAGCGACCAGGTAGCCGCGCTATCGCATCAGAGAAGAAGAACAGCCGCTGATCGCACGGCTACCGTAGAAAAACACAACAACACATTACACACATTATAATTACACAATCGTATATATCACAATGCCGATGTATAACACACATGTATTACACAGCATGTATACACATTATATATTAGCACACATTATATGTAACACGCGTCTCATATCACCGCTGATGGGTCACGTCAACTAATAAACCGCGCTCACGGTTTATATATATTATATTAGCTTATTATATTATTTATAATAATTATATAATAAAATAATAAATCTATTCTTATTAATATAAGGCCCGCGGGCCTAGATGATTCACGATATGTTTTTGACATTCTAGCGTCGTCTGACCTATGAATACAATACGACCTCAGGCGCGCGTAGGCAGGAAAATA